ACTGCCTAGTGCCATATCGGGCCATTCAAGGCCCCCATAAACTACCGCCGCGTACTGTGTTGTCCTCAACTGACTGAGTCCGCACATTGACGCTCTGTCGCACACGACACGCTTGCCAGCAGAAGAGGCACACCCAGTGGGAGGTCGGGTGACGCTGAGCGCACTCTCTCGATACGAGGAACCCGACCATCGGCACGGTCTGCGGAGCCACCCAGCAGGGTGAATAAATCGGTATTTACCGAAGTCGAAAATAACCCAAAACTAAATTTTTTTTTTTTTTTTTTTTTTTTTTTTTTTCTTTTCCCGTAAGGGGTTATTTTGACGCGGGGCTCATTTGCAGAATTTTGACGAGAGACTAAGAGTGCCGCGCTAGGCCTTGTGTATTGGTAGTTAAATATGCATGAATCGTTAGAAAAGTTATTAATGTTAGTGTTAAGAATTGTTCATTTAACTGTTAAGGTTATGAGTGAACATAAGTTTATAAGAAAGTGTCGCTCTCAGTGACCTGTAATTCCCTGGCAGCTCATTGTTGTGTCAGCGAATAAAAAATTGGAATTTTGTTGGGAACGAGTCAATGGACTGATTTTTGACCTCCTTCACTTCCATCCAATCGTTACAGGAACTGAACCTGGCGCCCGACATATCACGACGAAGTAATGGGCATTACAATATACCACTAAATCCTATAATATATTTTCGTGATAGCCCTCTCAAGGTCTCACAAATAGAATAAATTGACATTGCTTCACTAATTCAGCATTCACAATATATGATATAATTCTCATTCACAATATATGATGTGAAAATTTCATTGTACTTTCCATAAATTATAATTACGACTAGAAGCACTCAATCACTTCAATAGATTGCTTGAGACAATTACGTACGTCGTTAGATATCTTAACTAAGTCATGAGATTAGAAAATTATCAAACTAGGTTGTCAGGATGATTTCAATAAAGAAGTGAACATTCCAATAAGATCTTACTACACGTATATCGAACAAAGTTCATACTTTGTAAAAATATTCATGTACTATCATTTGCGTTTAACATTGGCTATTCACACTACGGAAGGGATGTTGATGGGAATAAATAGGATATTTACAGTGCAATGCATATCGTGGAAATTGCATTTTCTCGTTCACGTGGAAATCTTCGTTTCGTTTGTAAGGGCCGCGGCGTATGTAGAGGGAAGAAGGAAATGGTATATTCCGTTTCAGGGCTCTCAATAGTCGGGCAAGTAATACTACTAGAACTATCTACATTCCTATATTTAATACATGGTGAGGCCTAAATTTTCCGAATACTTTCGTCATCACGAGCGGGAGTAACTTGCAGACTATGAAGAGGCTGGCCTTTCGTAGCCAACCATAAGAGCACGGATTGGAAAATAGATTATTATAAGATCGCTTTTTAACTTCTAGGTCAAATAGTGACCACTACGATTGTTTTATTGTGATTGGTAAGAGGGATCGTAGAGGGAAAACGTAATGACAACAGAAACATCCATGCCCGAAGCGGGATACGAACACGCGCCCCTTCGAAACGAGGTAGCTACGGCCCTTCAGCCTTAATGATCGCAGCTAACCAAGTCGACGGAATATAGCTTTTATGGCAGAATTTCATAAGAAGCAATATCTCCAAATTCAAAGATCCTACAGCCAAAGCCTGTACGCTTCAAAACTCTTTTCAGATTAGAACTTCCAAAGGAAAATCTCGAATGGACAAAAGTTCTAAGAATAAAAGTACTTTTCAATTTCTAAATCATTCACTCGACAGTAAATAGTTCATGCGTGTGGCACATAATTTTGTGTTTAAGTTTACGCTCTGGCTTGAAAACTTTGCTTTTTATGATATGCTAATGTTTTATGAACTCAAGATGATTCACATGATGTGACGCACTCATGATTCACAAAAAAATCTCATGAAAAAACTCAATGAAAATAAAAATGCCGAAGAAATCTAGAATTTTCAAACATAAGATATTGTACAGACCCAACTACTACGTTCAGCCATGAGTCGTAAGGAGCGAGTAATGTCATACACGCAAAAGGTTACTAACACAACGTCCCTTAAATGTAGGAATTAAGAAACCGCTAATTTGAAAGATACAATGAGTGAATATTGGTGGATTACTCAAAGGAGGATTATTATAACTATCAACGTCATCAAACTCATTTAATAAAATACACGGTTAAAGGTCGCAAATTCAGGAGACAGTCGAGGATTATAACCAACCAAGTCTGTTATTTGTGTTATCCGCCATGTGTTGTTTAAATTGTTTCGTATTCCTAAAAACAAAGCACCTAAAGAAGAATTTTTTCTAAGAATAAGTGTACTCGTTCCTAATTTCTTGCTACAACTCTATTGTTTCGACTGTCCTCAACGGTCAGAGAACTGTTAAATCCTTAACGTATACCCATCGTTCAGTGATGTTAAGTGACCGTTTGAATGCGTTAATTCGATATTACACCCGTCGAGTATTAGGAAAATTTGATTTGTAATCCAAAGCAACGGAACCAGATGGAGAAGCGATCGCCCTTACAACAGTACAGTGGTGCGAACACTTTCAGGTGCCGCCGTGTGGGCCAGCGCGGGTACTCACCGGAAGTGCCTGGGCTCGGGCCCGTCGCTGACGGCGACGCGCACGTCGGTGCTGTAGAGCAGGCGGGCGACGGCGCGCAGCGAGCCGGCCAGCAGGCGGGCGGCGGCCGTGCGCTCCGTGCAGAAGATGAGCTCGCGGCCCGTGCTGACGAAGGCGCTGCCGCCCTCGCCCTGCCCCCCTCCCTCCTCGCCCGCGCCGTCGCCGCCGCCGCCGCCGCCGCCGCCGCTGTCCGCCTGCAGCACGTCGTGCACCGAGTCGAGCGTGGCCAGGAACTCCTCCAGCCCCGCCCCCAGGCTGCGGAAGGCGCGGTCCAGCCGCCCGGCGCACGCCGAGCGCACCAGCTCTTCGCCCAGGGCGTCCACGAACTCGGACGCGTCCACATCTGCACATACAGATAGCACTCATTGTAGTTAAAGCACTCCTTTACAAAGTAATTTGAGCGCTCTTGTAAACCAAATTGCGTGATTTCGTTTGCCTGCTTCAAATAGAAGTTAGAGGGTTCCAAATGTGTGAAAGCTTCCTATTTTTCACCAGTTTTATAGTAAAAACACTATACATGAATGCAATTGTAAAAATAATATAATGAACGTTAATATGATGTCATTTGTTAATTATTTTGCTCTTGTAGTTGTAATCAATCGTAGTTTCCTCACATGGCGCAGGCAAGTGAACGGGTGTGTGGTTATAGTAACGTTTACAAAGAATGTTCAAATATTCACATGAGAAACAAACAGAAAATGACTACGAGTTTTCTAAAGTTTTGAAGTACCATGTATATGAGTCTATGTCAAGTTTTGAAGCATTTCCCTAGAATATGTCTGAGAAACCACGTTGTGCGATCCGCTTCATTTGCCCCAAGTATATTTTAATGAAGGCAACGCGTCTGGGGCGTGTCTTCAAGCACAGTTAAAATGTTTAGAACTGAATATGCGGTTTAATTTTCCCATTTATACAATTATACCAAACCAAAAGTATTTTCTCTTATTCTTAAATACCAGTTATTTGTCTTTGTCACAAAAGCAATAGAGTTTGGATGAAAAGGAAAATGCATAATGTTCTTGGGTTTACACAACAGGTCCTTCTGTTAATTTCTTCTCAGTTATCATGAAAGTTTGACGGATTTCCAACGGATATATTATTTATGATAAATTATCTTTGAACTGGTAAAACAATTGACAGCCCCGACCAGGAATCGAACCCACGACACCTCTACCACTTCACGACATTCACAGTCAACTCACCACATGTGAAACACAATGTGAACTCACCAATGTGAAAATTATAGCAATTTCTCACCAGCAGGTAGGGACGCTTTAGATGACGTCTCGCTAGCTACAATGGTTGAATGCAAGGAATCTACACAGTGAGAGACATCTCAGACGGAAAAACACGTATCCCCTCAATTTGATAAATACATGTTTCTAATATAATTTTTCTGAGAAACGCTTCGTTTCTTCAGAACAGTTTCTTCATAATTGTTATTTTTTCATAATGTTCAGAAGGTTGTGATTATAGTGAACTGAAGACCTGCGGCTAGGTCTAAGTATTGCCGAAGAAAACAATACACTTTTGGGGGTTCAAACATAATCTAAAATTGGCGAAATGTCGGATTGGGGACCTACGACAATTATGGCATCAAACGCGCGCGGTGCAGCAATTTCGCTCGACTTAAACTCGTGTGAAGTTTAGGCTGCCATATAACCTGTCAATCTTGTAGTACACTTGCTGCTCACAAATGACGCTAATCACCTCCCGAGTCTACAAGAGCGATTCGAGCCTTGGAAATGCGCGTTCAGTTGCAATGATATACAGGCTGCGACAAAATCAAAAAATTACAAAAGGAAAAATTTTCTACTGAAATGATGCCAGTATTATTTATTTCTAACATTTTGAGGAACACGCTAGTGAATAGGAGTTTTTTTTAACGGAAATAGGTCGTTCTGTATATTAATTGCTTCTCAAACTTCACCTTTCGCACAATTTCATCTGCCCCTATCACAATTTATTTTTTAAATATAAAGACAATAATAATAATGTTCTTGAAGGACTCAAAATAATTGCTTGTTCTCCAATAGAAGACCTTGCTTACACGAAAATTACCGTACGGTTCCTTCACACGGAGTGACACACGGGCGAACAATCACAACAGTTACTGTATGTGAAATTGAAAGAGTAAGCTTCCAAAGTCGAAGTCTGTATCTAATTGGCTCTACGAGTCGCCGTGTCCTTGGCATACATATCATCGTTTCGGTCATCAAGAGACGACCTTCTTCAGGGCGAAATGCGCCGAGATAGATAGTTCACGGGTTTATATAGACTGAGTTTCTCATCTCCTGGAGAAATTGAGGGTGAAAAACATCGTGAGGACTTCATGGTTGGCCTGACTAGCACGATCGTAAACCTAACCTACGAAGAAGTTTATAAAGCTGTCGTGACAGTACTCAGAAAAGATTTCAATCTCGATCCAGTACTCAAAGTGTCCCTACCATGGACATCGTGCTAGGGATGGAAACCGCATTCTCAAAGCTGCATCATGATGAGACTGACGTCATTCGCAGAGAATTAGCTCGCATTTTGTCCCAAGTCCTACCTAACACCAACCTACCAACGTAACCTACAAGGGGGTATTTGCCGCATCAACTCGTCTGTTAGGAATTCGGACCGTCTTATTGATATACTTAAGGGGAAACTATTCGATTTCGTGTTCTAAATATCGCCATACTTTAAAATAAGATTTCTACGTGAGTATGCGCAGATTTCTCTGACAGACAACGTTGGAATATCCACGAAGCGGTTTCATATGACTTCAGTTTCTGTTTTGTAAACGTTCAATAAGCTTTGATATATGAAACTATCATGTTGTTCAGAAATATTTTAACAAGTAATTTCTAAATGATTATATAAGTCGTTATCTAAATAAACTTAAAGGGAAAAACGACATTGGGGTGAATTGTTGATCTTTTCCCTCTGATAGAGGACTTCTACAATATTTTTTCATCATTTTAGAAGGTTTGGATTGTACCAGCAATATCTTACAGTCACTTTTTCACGTATTAATGCGTATATTAATGTTCTGCTTATTAGTAATTTGATTAACAGTAACGCCTAAAATGTTTTAAATATATTCTAAGAATGTCCTCCTGCGCTAAGTAAGTCATTATCAGGCAACAAAACCGTAATACGCACAAAACTAAATAGTATATTAAGCTGCAACTTCTTGCGCGATATTTTCGAAAAACGCATCATATTCTTAAAGAATGACTTACGTTGCTGTGAATTAGTGCAAACACGATCCTCACCGTCACGCTTTATTTTTCGAATGGCTACTCGTGACTGTCAAAAGTCTAATATACCTAGCAAAACATATCGGTGGATATTAAAAAATACCTAAGTAGATAGTATTTTTTGCGTTCTTTTGCTCAAAGCAGTCTATTGTTCCAACAACGAACACTATGGTGAATGGAGTGTATGAATGAATTTTTCACGCAAGGGGCTACGTTTCTTCGTATGTCACGTTCTTCGTACGCGTGGCTGCCTCAATGTGTGTGGGCGAGCCTTTAGAAGTAATAGTCACGCAAGGTGACGTATGTCACTATGACGTGTTCAGCACGTGACAAGTCTAAAGAGATCCTAACATGTGTATGGTTAACAAGCCATAAAACCAACATAATGGACTATCGGAACGTTATTATCTCACCAGGATATCCTTTACTTTCCAATGCTCCCAAGAAAGGTTGTAATAACGTTTGAGAGCATACGCTATAGCACTCCTAATGTGTACTTAAATATCGTTGGTTAAATCTAGTCCCAACCAGTAATATTCAATGTCACGCTTCAGTCAATTATGGAAACTGAGATGTGGCTTGTATATTAAAGCCGTCTCGGGAATACGAACGAAACAAAATAGTTGCCTGACCGTTAATTGTTTTATTGGCAGAGAGTTATTTTTGCTCATTAGGGCCATATCGTTTAAGGCAAATAAGGCGCACCAGTACAGTGAAAATTAATTTTGCTCTTTCCGTCTTCATAATTTTTCACACCCTCTCTGTCAAATGTGTTCTCAAAAATACATTATTTCAAAATCACCATATTTTTTACCTATACTTCTGTTATCAAATCACGTAGGTTTTCCTCTATTTGCCCCTATTATAACACATATAGTGTGTTCGCTGCAAATTTGAAATTTAAAAAATGGAAGTGAACATACCACGTTTCAATGCGTACGTCAATTAAACGGGAAAGTGGAAAAACAGTTCTAGTCAAAAGACGGTAATTTTTGCTTTTTTACAGAAATTAGTAAAAAGGGCATGGAAATATCTGTTGATACTGAAAACAGATTAACGCTGCGGCACCCGCGGTAGATCTCGCAGACAACCGAGATGTTCTTCCATTCATAGAGAGTCATAGAAAATTTTGAGTCGTTCTCAGAACGTTTGTTATATTGCTCTGAATAGTAAGAGCATCCTATTCATGGCAATGTAGGCTTTATGCTGGCGTCTCAATCAAGAAGATTGAAGAATAATCTCAATCAAGCCGTGTGTACCCACACACCGGAACGTGGAGTACAACTTATAACTGATATCAATTTTTAATTTTTTAATTAACTTCTTATTATTAATGAACGTTGTATTTCAATAAAGTTTTGATGTAATAAAATGTGTTTAGTGTGTGTTTGTGCCTAAAATACCCAGTAGTAAGTTTTTTGTTTTTGTTTCTAAGGTCATACCAATGTATTATTAATGAAATTTGATCGCAATTATTCCCCAAAACATATTTGTAAGGCTTGATACATTTCTGTAAAAATAAAATAATTAAAATCTCGAGAGTTATTACTTTTCATATCTCATGAAAAGTCATAACTTGAATTATCTCAAAAGTAACTTTCTGAACTAGTACTATTTTCCCCCACACCGATTCAATTTAATTAACTGAAAAAATATCAAAGGAAATAATATGGCTCAATTCGCTTCGTAAAAGTATTTACACTCTTCAGTTCTAAACACACATTTTATTTCTCGATTGAAATTCGAATTATTTTCCAAGCCCACATCCAGCCACTTCTCAGACTAGTTATACCAAATCTTAATAAAATCTCAATGACCGCAAACTACCCACTACGCACAAATTTTATTCCGCGCGAATAAAGTATTAGTGTCTTCTCAACGTGGGTCGCTTCAACCTCTTAATCCCTCGAAGTTCCATAGCAGCGCGAGCAGAGTTCTCCGCGCGGGAAGAGTCTTT